TCTTTCTTTCTTTCTTTCTTTCTTTCTTTCTTTCTTTCTTTCTTTCTTTCTTTCTTTCTTTCTTCCTTTCTTCGTTTCTTCCTTTCTTCCTTTCTTCCTTTCTTTCTTTTCTTTTCTTTTCTTTTCTTTCTCTTTTTTCTCCCTCCCTCCCTTCCTTCCTTCCTTCCTTCCTCTCTCTCTCTCTCTCGCAGACATTTTAATCTGCTTTGGTTCCGATAGGAAATCTTGAAACTTTAGACCAGTGACGGTAACGTTTGCTGTTGTTTCTGAGTTCCCAGCTTAATCCTCTTTTTCTCTCACTCTTTTTCACAATGCTTTTACCTCATTCGCTGATTCCTTGGTTTCTCTAGCAGCTAATGGTGCGGAATTTCTCAAAAGCCCATTGAAAGCCGAAATAAATGACTCCAGCTGGTTTGCTTTTATCTTTCATTTCAGCTGGCACTGAAATACTAGTGACTCCTTTGGAATTCAGTGGGGCTTACTCAGAAGTATATACACAGGAATAGAGCCCAAATTTAATGGGTGGATACTGTATTTGAAAGAAAAATGCACAAGGGTTTTTTAGATTTTTTAAAATCCCTTTATTATTTTTATAAATAACTCAAGGCGGTGAACATACTAATACTCTTTCCTCCTCCTATTTTCCCCACCACAACTGCCCTGTGAGGTGAGTTGGGCTGAGAGAGAGGGACTGGCCCAAAGTCACCAAGCTGGCTTTCATGCCTAAGGTGGGACTAGAACTCACGGTCTCCTGGTTTCTAGCCTGGTTCCTTAGCCACTAGATCAGTATTTCTCAACCTTGGCCACTTGAAGATGAGGTCCACACATCTTCAAGTGGCCAAGGTTGAAAACTGTTGCACTAGACCAAACTAGCTCTCATTTTCAAGCAATGGGGTTTAAATCTTTTCCTGGTGGAGAGCATGTTGGTGCAGGTAGTGGATGATGGGTAGTGCCTGTTCTTCCCAAGTCCATGAAAGGCCATGGATGTGTTGGTAGCCAAGGAATCTTGAGGAAGATGAGTCAACCATTTGGATAGGTTTATGTACTCTGACCCTGCAGTCTGAGTTTGGGTTTGCTAATGTTATGTGTGATGGATGAAAACAAACACTTTATATGTGTTTTTGAGGTTGAGGGAGAAGAAGAAAAATAAAATAAAATGCTGCCCAAGTCCCACAATTCCCTTGCCAAAGCAGCTGAGAAGATTAAATGAAACCTAATGGCATTTTACAGCTAAACTAGTTTGTCCAACTAGCCACAAATATTTGC